ACTGCGGATTCGCCACCATTCAGGTCCGTTCCTAATATATAATACAAGCAGTAACTTATCAGTTCATAAACACAATGTCTATAGTCATTACATAACACAAACACTTACGTTGGTAGTAGCCCACCAGAGTTGTAGATATCAGGGTGATCATTTCTATACTTCTGTAAAGCAAGATGACTTCTGCGCTCTGGGTAATGACCTTCATAGCGGAACACTTTCTCAATATCGGTTGGACTAAACACCCACACAAGAGGAACACCAGGGACTATTTCTTCTCGCACTATCGAACCAAATTCTTGTAATTTTCGTTGGCCATTGTGGTGCAGCCTCTCAAAACTATATTCTCCTGCATGTAAAACAAACAGATATAATGAAAAAGGCTACATGACCAATACCTGAACATTCAAATGTTCTGTGATGACATATGTCAACTCATAATTAAAATAGTCACATGGTGAATTCTGCCAAATTTAGTATTAAGTATCTTTCTCCAGCAATTGGACATTAACAATAAGGTTCCTTTAAAACTAATGGGCCACTAGCCAAATGTCTGGGTCTGAATTACGCTACAGTCTGCATTTTACAGGAGTTTAAATATATACCACACACAGGAAAAATGTTGCATTAAAGTTAAATGTTCTGAAATCATTATATCTGGAATTCGGATTTCAAAATGTCATTTACTAACCAAACAGTGGTATGTATTTCCACAAACTTCCAATTAATGGTAAGGACTTTGGTCCTGGAATTTCATTAAAAGGGCGGGCTTCAGTAGCAATACGGTTCCTCTTTCCATCAGCTAGCTGATGTGTCTTCCTCCTGCAAGGGTTGTAGGAGTGGAGAGACCTCAAGACCCTTCTTCTGATGCACCACATTATCAATTGTTTTGTGTCACTGCCAAATAAATTTAAAAACGAATGAGAAGTTCATAATTACACAGATTTATAAAAATGTCTAGTTAATGATGTCAAAATATACTTTATATCACTATTAACCCTTCAGAGCTGTGAGGTTAAGTGTCCCACGAGATATAGAACGGTGATTTTGAAATGTTAATGGGTATGTGTTCTTATTTGAAGATTTCCGTCTTCTGGGTTGTTGCGCTGTGTAGTCTGGTCGATGTTAACCAACGTTTCAGAGGTCATACTGCCTCCGTCATCAGGACGATATTCATCGCAACAACCCAGAAGACGGAAATCTTCATACTCACCGCTGTGAGAACCTCAAGTCTTACGTGTTCTTATTTGTTTACGGTTCGTTTAACAACACTGTCAAAAACCTCTGACAATATCGTAGAATCAAACTTGCCACTGTAACTACCCTACTCGGTACCTGGTTATGTAAGACGCAAGTCCAGCATCATCACCAGTAACAACGAAAATGGAAGACTTCAATCCAAGATCTCCACCCTACGTCATTGTAGTCCCCCAATCAGGTTACGTGTGGTGGTTATGAATATGAAGATTCCCAAAATCAGCAATATCACGTCCAGTGTAGGATTTGAGGTTATTACACCGTCCTAATCAAAGCACGAAGTGGAAGAAATTATTACGTTTTCGCAAACCTGTACAAAAAAATGCATTTTTATAGTCGGTTTTCAAAGTGTAATTTTTAAGTATGCTGTACTTAAATCTTGGTCCAAGTGCCAGTATTAGTACTTCCGAATCAAACTCACACAACATTAACAACACAGAACACATTGTGTATGTAACCCCAAACGGGGTCCACTGAGTCTAATCTTTGTAAAGAACAATAAGATCATTGGGGAGCAACAATAATATTCTGGAAATATTGTGTGTACTTTTTCAATATGAGGAAAAAATACGTAAATAGTCGTGAGCTATATTTCAGGCATTTCAACCCGCCGCCCAGCAACGTGAAGTGTCACATGCGTACCATTTTATATTGAACACTGCGTAATGAAATTTCTCAGCAATTAAAAATGTAGTTTTAAGTGATTAATAAAAATGATTTTGTTTCAGACTTGCAACTGTGTAGACCTGCGTGTGTTTATTAAGGTCGTAAAAGTAAAGCTGCCCTACCCGCCTTGAGGGCGCCTGGGGTGGAGAGTTTAGCTCCTATTGTCTGAACAGGGAAGTAACTCCACCATGAAGCTGTGACGTCATGAAGAAAGTTGTCTGTAAAGCACAGACTCTTTCAAAAATTATTCCCACTGTTGCTTTTTCCCTGGGGAAGGGACCATCATTACCCATTGGACAATGCCTGGGTGGGCCTCAGAAACAGTCTGGATGCAGAGGCTGAAAGAAAAATCCTTAACCCCTACAATGTACCCATTCCAAAGACTCTCTACTGAGTTAACCCAATTCCTAGTCAGTTCATAGCATTCTTGAAGGTATTTTATATGTTGTGAATTTGTAATAAATAACATAATTGTGTGTGTCTGTCTCCAGTTTCCACATAACATGAAGTCATGCACTCATTCTCTTCACACTACTGGGCCCACCTGTTAAGTGTACAACATTTTGTGGAGGCAGACATAATATTTTATATTTCCATTCTTAATAAATTGTCAGTGTGCTCTTCATAATACAGAACTAGTGTAACTACACAGGAAAGGAAACCAGAGCAGTGCATAGAAACATAATTACCAGTTTTCAGAGATGTTTAGCCTAAATATACAAAAAATATACCTTCATGACTCAATCTAGAATTTGAATAGGAACATCAATAGCATTATACATGCAGTTTCTTGTGGGCCTCAACACTTTGTAGTCTCGAGTATCTGACGCTCTAACAAGTTTCAATCAGGGAAACAGCATGAAGAATGGTGTGCTGCAGAGTACTTGGATACAAATTAAAGACAACACAGAAGAGCTGCAAGTTGAAATGTAAGAACACACTGATGACCCATCAAGTTAGACATGACTTTGAAGCTTGATTCCTATAAGTTATATCATTTTGTCTTAAAATGTGCCTTTTCTCACCTTCTACATGACATACAGCTTTCAAATTATCAGGACCTTTTTCACATGTTCCATACATCGACACATGAGACACATGGATATCAGATAGAGACAGTCATGTTTAGTTCCTATTTCAAAGTACCGTACAGTGTAACATATGGAAAAGGAGAACTTACTTATTAATGGTTGACCCAAAGAACTTTAAGGACAGCTGGTATTTTTTATATTTCTTTTACAAGGTTCATTCAAGCGCAGGAAGGATAACATTGAAAAATCTGGTGACTGCATGCATTAACATGGCAGGCCAATGGAAGTAAATTTTAAAATTGCTAAGAAACCAGCAATAAGTAATCAGTCATGTATAATGAAAGATCAGTAGACTGCAGAGAGCTTTCACGGGACAAAGTAATAAACATGTAAGTCAGCAAAATATGCTAAAGTACATTTGGTATAACAAAATGTTGGAACTTTGGTTGACAGCTACCACACCACTCTCACAGCACCATCTATCCCAACACACTGAATCAAGGATGCTGATGCAGTATCATTGGTGAACTGAAAGAGCATTCACAGCTTTCTCCAAAAGGTCATCTCAGGTGACATAGCCAATGTTTCCCGTTTGATCCACAAAGTAAATGAGAGTAACAGTCACAACCAAAAGTCATAAGTTAACTTGGCAGTGCATCTTGCATTACAGTCGTACACCTGAGGGTCCTTCTGTGAACAAGATGTCTGTAAGCTGCTTACTGTAGTCCTTCCTTACCCATTGTACTGTTCTCATCTTAAATCATGTGCAATCTTAACCTCTGTCTGCAAATGACTGGCTGATGAGCTGCAACGGCACTTGAGATCACTTTGCAGGTCACACGTATTTCCAGAAATGTTTTGCACAAGTTTACGTGCAGGTTCCCTTGCTAGAACCATCTGAAGTTGCCACATACATGCAATATGAGAGGTGTTTTCTAAATAATTAAAATCACGAAGCTTAAGAGCCCTTGAGCGAGTTACACAACATTCATGTATGTAAGCTAAATATAATTTCTTGAGAAAAATATTACAAAGTGCTACTCTGAAGCAGCAATAATACAACTTTTAAAATACTATACTAAAACCTGATTTAAAGACAGAAATTTTAATAGGAATAAAACTACTAAAATTTCTTTACCAGTCTTTCCTAATACTATATAAAATATTGTAACATAATGAACTAATCAAAATGGGCAACAATTCCGCAAAGAAACCCTGTCTCTAGACCCTCTCTCCATCGTTTCCTCGACAGTGTCGCACAGTTCCATGTCTTTGGTTTCTGGTAACATGAGGACCAGCAGCCCTGCAGCAAGTACTGCTGCACCACAGATTGTGCTCGGTATATACCACGCTTGTGCGCCCTGTAACAAGACGCAGCATGTGAACAACTTCATTCAAATTCACCTATCATACCATCCACCAGGCAACTGGTCAACCCTCTAGATAGAACAATATTTTCCCTCTCCCATGTTAATCAGTCCATTTACTCTTTCCTCACTGGACACAATCCTGAGCCTGTTCAATCAATCCATTTCTCATCTCCACCAAGATCTTCCAAGTTTCCTCCTCAAAGACCTGAATGTAGTTTTAGCATCCTTCATTTCAGCATCCTACTTGCACAGATCACAATGGTCCTCATGTAATATTCTCAACTCCACAAAAATTTGATACCTCTTAAAGACAAATATTTTGTTGACACTTCAAACGCCTGTAATTTATATTCATTGCAGAAGAGAAGTCAGACAGAGGGCCCTTGCTTATGAAACAACCCACTTAAAGCGGAAATATCAATAAAAAGTTGTTTCTTTGTATTTCTATAGTGGCCAGTTGTCATATTTCTTTTAACAAGTTTCTTATATAACATTAACTTGAAATTTGCATATAGGCTGTAACAGATGTTATACTTAAAATATAATAATTCAGAACTCTTATACAACTTACCAGGATGTCAACAATATAAGGCGCTGATAAGGAGCCCAGATGGGACATTGTTGAGCTGGTTCCAACAGCTGTGTTTCTGTTGACAGTTGGAAACAGTTCTGAAGTCTGCAGAATGATAACAGAATATACTGCTCCTATACAGAGACGCCCAAGCATAGCCACACTCATGATGGTGTCCGTCATACCTGAGGAAGAGCCACGTTGGCATAAATATTGCTGTATATATGCTGACTGATGGGAGGAAGATCAGTGTTGCGACTAGAAGTACTGTAATATGACAGTAAAAATGTACATATGTCGTGCTGGTACTTGTTGAGTTGTCACATCACATATTGGCATTAAACCAATTTCCTGATTATAGAAACAACAAGTACCTCTAAAACTTTGGTAAATTTGTATTATACTACAACCCATAAGACAGCATCTTCCCAACCTGAACATCAATATTTTCTACACTGACTTTCTCAGTCACAAACTCTGCGGGCACATGTGCGTAATCAAATATGAACATGTCAGTAGGACAAATATTTTCCTGCTCATACCTGGAAGTATAACAATCAAAAGACCATAATAGGGACTTGCACTGCAGGCGAAAAGTCGCTAACTGCCCGTAAGACTACATGACATGCCAACCCAAAAGACCGAGACGCACAGGAAAAGAAAAAGTGATATAGTGAGGCATTCTTTCATGATGCAGTGTATATGCCTTAAGAGTTCACATTGCTCACACAATATAGCTGGACTTCTTTTGAGAGTTCGTTACTCACATTTATGCTGAGCGAACCATCAATTCTAGAGAATAAACAAAATAAGCATACACGATTCAGCATCGTTATCAGGAAAACTGTCCCTGGAATGTATGATCTCTCTGAGAGCCCGATCAGGGTTCACCATGACCCAAACCTACAAAGACTTCTTTCCACTGGTCATGGGTGCTCTTTACCATGGAGTAAAGGCTGTCAGCAAGTGAAGTTGCCTCCACCTAGAGCTAAGGTTAAGAACGTACAGGCAACTTTTTTTAACTCACCTTCTGGTATGCTGAGAATAGACAAAAGAGCTGCTCCAGATACCACATACAGCACTACTGATGTCGTCCGTCGGCCTGTCCATCTCAACATTGGGATGGGTAGGACATAACTCACAGCCTCTACTGCCCCAGCAACTGCCACATATACAAATCTGTCGCACACAAAATTAGTCGGTTTTACGTTCAATACAAAATGTAATTCTTTATTCTGGCAGAGATTAGAAATTAATGGAACTAATTGGTTTATATCTATAATGAGTACATAACAACATGAAAGACATGGCATTATGATCCGCCCCCTTCAACTTCAAAAGAAGATTTCATAGAAGAATAATTATACACAAATAATCCAACTATGAAAATATTTTATACCTCTGACAAAAGCAAAATATAATGGGGTAAAGAGAACAAACAAACAAACCCAAATGGAAACTTTACTGCTATATAATTAATGTGGCAAAAGCTCAGAGCATTGTCTTTTAAAAATACAATTTTGTTTCTGAGTAATGTGGTCTTTATCTGCATAACTGATTAGATAATGGTAGAAGAAAGATTTTAATAATCAACTTTTTCAAAGTTTTAATTATTTCTAGATATTTTCCAAGTAAACTATAAGATGGAATTTTACTTTAAAGGTTTTGGTGTTTTTAATACACTGTGCTATGTTTAAGTTCATATGCTATCTGTAGTTACCTATCAGCAGTGAAGTTATCAGCATTGAGTGCAAGAGCATAGTATGTCATAGCCGTTACACACCACGCAAAGTGACAGATAAGAAGTCGCTTTCTCAGTTCAGCATTGGCAAAGATCGCTAACAACTTCTTTAGAGAAGCTATAACCTGTTTGTACCATGAGGCATGCTCAGCAGCAACAGGCAGGTCCTGAAATGGAGCAAACTGTGCACTGCGATACCAAAGACAAAACACAGCTACCAACTGAGCCCCTTCCCAAGCACATTACCAAAATATATTTCTGAAGATTCTTTCCAATATTATCCCCACATCTAATGTCTTGGTCTCCAACAGTAACAATTCTGAGGCCTTTGCTTACATTTCAGACCAGAACAATTTTATGATGAACATCTGTCAGTCTGTTCATAATCCTTCGTATTGTTGCCTGCTATCTAGAAACACAGAGGTCAAATCTGCAAGACTACAACTGAACTTATTGCTTTGTATGGGTGTGAAAGTAGGTCTCTCAACTTAAGAGAAGACCCAGAGTGACAGTATTCAAAGCAGGGCACTTAGGTGAATATTTGGACTTAATACTGATGAAGTATCTGGAAGCCAGAGAAAAATTCACAATAAAGAACTTCATAATTTCAACTGTTTAACAATTATTAAGATAATAAAATCAAGGAGAATTAGATGAGCAGGGCATATAGCATGCATGAGGAATATGAGAAATTTAAATGACGTTTTGTTTTCGAAGTTTAAAGGGAAGACATAACTCTGAAGACCCAGGCATATGTGTAAGGACAGTATTGAAACTGATCTTGGGAAAATCAGAATTGGAGGTTGTGGACTGGGTTCACCTGACTCAGGATAGGGTCTGGTGGCAAGCTCCTCTGAACACGGTAATGAACCTTGAGGTCACATTGCTGCCTTCACTGGTACGGGGAAGTCCTCACAATTGTCACATGAAGAAGCAGTTTACAGGTCACTCAGCTCATTCTCTGTCTCTAAGTTTTAAGGTGTGTAAGAATACATACGCTGCATCACCTATTTAATTTCTTAGGTTTGGCACATTCATCACCCTGATGATGGAGGCAGCATGACCTCTGAAACGTTGGTGGAAATCTACCAGACTACATGGAGCAACAACCCAGAAGACAGCAATCTTTAGACTCGCCGCCGTGAAAACCTCTAATCCTACGTTTGGTATTACCTTCGCAGAATCTCCTTTTTCTATGGAATTGTCCTGAACAACGGACATAGAGGCTTTCAGCATTTCTGATTTCTTGCTAAATCTTTGTACAACTTCCCATGCTTCTTTATGCCGGCCTTGGGATACAAGCCACCGCGGCGACTCTGGTAGGAACCTAGGACACGTAAATTCTATGGTCAATGATCTATAGCACAACAAAATTTACAGTGAGGCATACTGACTAAATGAGGGGAGAACAGAATTTTCCAATATTCTGGTCACAGAGACCCAGAAAGCAAGAGAGCGAATGTAAGTTAAATCCACTTACACACTTTCTCTTTATTCCTCTTTCTACTTTGGTCTGTTCATATACTTACAATTTAAAATGCAACACAGAGCTAACTGGAAACTTTATCCTGAACAGTCACATACCAGATGTGTAAGACGAGGACGACGGTCGGCACAGACAGCGCCAACTGCAGCATGCGCCAGTTCTCGATGTACAGGGCAATCAGTGGCAACAGCATCATTCCCACAGGGTACGGCATGTTGTACAGAATGCCAAGCAGAGTGCGGTGCTTCTTTGCGATAAACTCTGTTACTGCAGGAAACAAAAGCAAAAAGTACACATTAAATTCAGTGAACTGTCTAGCGTGATGGAGTGAACTTCAAATCACAGGTGACTTGAATGAAAGCAGCGTTCAGCAGTGTTTGTGCATATCCCATGATTACATTGATCCCCCAGTAATGTTATGTCACATACACAAACAAAACCATCACATCACTGAATAAATTATCCTGCAAACAGAATCACATTTAACTGTACTTTTCACTCAACAACTGAGTTAATTGTGTATTGTCACACTACCATCTGACCCACAAACTGCATAAAGCATAAGCCAAAACAACATAATAAACAAACAAGATCAGGACTTCAGGAATTGTGTCATATTCTATATGCTAAATTTAAAATTAATTAACTGTACCAAAACTATCAGCATCTTAGCATCAGGTCTCTCAAGGATGAATGATACTTTTCGAGCCCTTATGATGACGGCATAAGAGTTTCAAAACTTAAGGAGTATCATGATGAAGCAGTTAATACCCCTGCTTCATACTCTGGAGGTCCTGGGTTCAAATCTTGGTCTGAAGACCAGCCATCCTGTGGTTTCATCAGTCCCACCAGACAAATCCCAAAATATTATCTTAAATTGGTCACAGATGTTGCCCTCCCCATCATTTTCCACTTATTTATTCAATGATAATCTCAGCCACTGAAGAATCATTAACTACACCAATAACAAACGAATACCAAAACTTTCAAATTCTTCCTGACAAAAATATCACATATGATAAAAAGTTAACCTCAAAATTTGTAAATTTCTGTGAAGATAATGCATGTGAAATGTTAAAATAACCATTTTATTAATTATTGGTGTACTGAAAAATATTTACAAAAATATTTTTCATTTGTCTACAACCACAAAGGATAAGCAGCAGCATTATGCCTTAAAGAATTATGAAACCAGCCTTGAATGACAGTTTTTTACCTACTGAAACATAGATTCACATACAGAACCACCTTCAGTAGTGCAGCTTGTCTATGCTGTCCAATGTTTCTTAAAAATTCAGACACTATCATGACCATTTTATGTAAATCTATGTTAGACAACATTCAAAGGGCTACAGCATAGTAGTTTAACGACTCAGTATTCTGCGAGGTACAGAAGTCTGTTTACCTGGTGATGAATTTAGTGTACCTTACAGCCAGCCACTGAGTCCAACTCAGATGGAAACTGTGTAATTCACAGTACATATTCTGGGTGTGTTGAGTGTGCAGCACACAGCCAAGAAACTGAAAGAAAGAGGAAAACTACTCCTTCAGCTCAATGATTTTTCTTTGACAAACAGTTTAAAAATCTGATTTATTTTCATAAACTTCAATCTTCAATACACACGCTGCTTCACACCCAGAATATGCCATTTGCAATCAAAACCCACAAATAATGCAGTGTCTGTAAAATCAACTTCAAAGTAAAATTAACCTTGACATTCATGTGTTCAAACAAACCACCAGAAAGAGGGTTCTCTGTAAGATTCAGTTCAACATTCAGAACATAACGTTCCATTCCAAATTCAAACTGAATGGAAGTCTTAAAATCTAAACAACATCCACTGCTCCTTGTGGAGTAATATATATCAAAAGGGTTAAAATTATAAAAGATAATGTGCAACTTACAAAGAGTGAAGCCGCAATTGAATGTCCCTGATCCGGCCATGCCAAGCGCAAGACGGGCAAAACAAAAGACGAGGTAGTGCGGTGAAAATGCTGCCACTGGACCAGCTACGATGTACATGACACAGGATATAGTGAGGCTTCTCTTACGACCCCACCTGCAAAACAAACCATTCATTCTAATATTCTCATCATTGCCATAATCACGTTAGGTTACTAAGGCCTCTTTTCTCTGAATCTCAAGATGGTCTTGAACTCTTTTATTGTTCTGGTCATCGTAAGATTAGGAATTGATTCACAATTAATGTAAAAAACACGGTCCATGCAATGGGCCTATGACCTCACTTTTCAATTTAATTATATGTATGGTCCATCCAATGGGCCTATAACCTCACTTTTCAATTTAATTATATGTAAATGTTTTCTCTCATTCTAAAGGAAGAACCCAACATTTTGTGTGCTTGAGACAAGGCTGGTAGGGAGAACATTTAGAAATATGAGGGAGAAAGAACGAACAGACTGGAGAAAGCAGTGTTAAGAGCAATCAATGAATTAGGCCACATTCCAGCCTCAACTACAATCAATAAATGGGAAAGCCATGCTCATCGACTAAAAACTAAAATATTTTCATTTTCCTTTGCACTGAGCTGTCACAAAGTTACTGACATCATAACAGAAGTGCAGTGAAAGACATTTAACTTTTAATCAGAATGTAGGTACATTATCATGTCTCGTGTACTGTTTGAACCAAGTCACAAAAGGTAAATTGATCATTATTTCAAAAAAAATTATTTTCAAACTGTACTTGTCAGCAACAAAACCGAAGATCAAAGCTCCTAGGAATTTGCCAAGAGCTACGGCCATCTGTACTGTAGATCTGAGGGGAGTCCGACTGCACACTAGGTCCCACTGTGAACAAAACAGGAAAACATACAGTTCTGTCTTGAAAGGAGTGCAAAGCTTCGTGTCAAAAACATATTAATCATATTTACAGAGAGATGGTTCACTGTAACATGAAATATTTTTATCAAGATCTGTAACTTTATCTCAAACCTTTTTTGATTTAGTGACAGCAGAAAAATGGGAGAATACATTGCAATATTAATTCTTGGCGCTACAGCAAAGTGACTGCAGTCCAAAATTTAAAATATGCATTCTGCACACTGATCGATCAGTCTTTCAATTTCGACCTCGTTCAGGTAAAGGATGCCGGGCTTCAAAGAAAACGCTGACCTACTGTAAGAGTAGATATATCAGCACAAGGTTGACCATGCAGAGACAAAGCTCAAGAACGTAGCGTGTCCTCCGTCACACACAATCTCACAAAACAATCACTTGCCTTGTGGAACTCCACAAAACTTCCCATGAAACAGGTAAACTCGTGCAATAATGTGTTCTGGTTTTAGAAACTTGGTTTGAAGCCCGACCAACTATACTTGTAATGAGATTTTCTGGAGTTTTCTTAATTACATTCCTCCTGCCCTTTTAAGTACACAGTTCTCATCTGATTCAATGCTAAATAATAAATTACAAATTACGTGCCTTTGCAATTGTTTGGCACAAAGTAACTTTTAATTACGAGTTACTCTTTGAAGTGACTGTACTGCATTAACATCCTACCTCTGAGACAATCCCACTCCCTTCATAGGACCAGCTGTCACACTCATATTGACCAGGATACTCAGCACTGCTAGTGAAACTTAACGCTTCCTCATATCGTAACGCTGCCAAATGCGTGTAATTCCAATTGAACATTTCACAGCTGTCTCTGGAGATGCCACTGCAACAGTACCATAATCAGAACGACTTACCGGTGTTACGATATCAACGCAGCAATGTAATACGATGGACAGGATCCCTGTTTTAATATTACCAGCAGTCTTTCATTAAGCCTCAGTGGTTCGTGAATATCACAGAACTCGATGACTAAAAACAAAGAAAGGTACAATATTGTGTGTTCTTATATCGAGAAGTGAAGGATCAGACATCCGTTGCAAATGATCACACATGGAGACAAAGTACACGAGACACTTATCTCATATTTGAAAGTTTGTTGCTTCAAATCTGTTGCAAATGATCACACATGGAGCCAAAGTACATATTTGAAAGTTTGTTGCTTCAAATCCTGACAGCACCTGGCCAACCTGACTGAAGTTTCATTGTTTATGTTACCTCTACTGCAACAACTGCAGACATCTCTTCTCAGATAAGAATGTCAGGATCTGTTCTGCTATTTCTTCCATGGTGTCCAGACACTGGGTTCACACGTGTCCATGCCTTCATACCTGCTGAAGCTTTAAAGTTTAGGGATGGGGGAAGGTGGAGGAAGAACACAGAATCCCTGTGGAGTTGAAGGAGTTACTCCATTCACCACCTATGGGATGCAGAGATTTATTACTTCAGTGCCTCAACCACCTGCTGCTTACCCGGGGCTGCTGATGTTTCTAATCTGCTCTGACGCCCAGTGCGCAGCTTCCAGCTCTGGCACTGCGCACCAATGAGGCAATGCTTGTCCCAAGAATACGTATGCCGTAAGGTGCCAGATGTTGAACACGCCCGGCGAGCTCACCAACAAGAACATTATCCATACCCATTTCCCTCCTTCTCCAACCTTTTCAATGGCTTCCTCCAAGCCATCCAGTGTGGGAGCCATTGTGTCCTGCAAACACACATCTGTTGTGTCCGTGCTTCAGTGAATGGGAGACAGTGAAGAATTTGCAGCTACACTGAATTACATGGAAGATTGAACTGAGAAGATGCAGCGAGGAAGAGTCACGCCCATACTTACAAGAACATTTCTGGCAGAACTGCAAACCTCAACTCAGTTTCCTTAAGAAGTCAACAGGCACAATAATTTTGATAATGAGCTTGGAAGGCTGGAAAATAAGGTACTCGTGTGGAATGTCTGAAGAAACCTACAAGCTTCAAGCAGACACAGGATCTGTCAGATAAAACGCGAAACATGTGCCATTTGTGACCACTGATACATGGTTCGATGAAATTGTTACATCCAGATTTTGGCTGTAGAAAATGTAATATTCTCTGATACACCTGACAGACTGGGTTCTGTAGCATGAAGCCAACATGACGGAGCAAAAACAGAAATGTACTTCATCCAATTCGGCTTCCAGCAACATATTTGCACTTTATACCTTCGTCAATTAATTTTAGACTTTTATGAAACCATCCAAAAGTCTAATAAAACATTTAGTTCTGAGAAGAAGGGAAAATAAATGATATGGCAGCAGGTACTGCCGAAACGTCCGTAAAGTTCTACCACACCCGGTCGTCAGCCAAATTTAAATTCGCAACCGTGAGAACCTGAAACTCTACCAAGAAATGGAAACGTTTGTAACAACAACAAACTCTTCCTTGTATACCGCAAAGAATCAAAGTTGTCTTGCAACTTTAGTGCGAATTGGAATGCCAGATTTTATCAGAATCATGTAAATATTTTGAAGCCAAACGAGCCAACAGTCAAAATCTTATATTCCTGCTATTAAGACCTGCCTCAGAACAAAACACTTCAGGAACTAAGTAGTTTAACCTTATCGAATTTTACAAAAACTACTGCAGACTCCTCGTACCAAGTTTGATCCTGACCTGTTCAGTAGTTACGGAGCTGAAATATGCGGACGGACAAGTTGAAGCTGGTTCTGCCCACTCTCTACACAAAGACCTTGTCTCAAATTAAGCTGTACCTGATTCCGAAATGGTTTTCATGTCATCGACTCGCACATCCAGGTTCGTAGATAGCGTGATTCACACAAAGCAAATATTTGTCCCTTAAAATGGTTTAACCTTCCACATTAGTGACGTGTTTGCTCACAACCGCTCGTCATAAACAAATGGTACATTTCTAGAACATCAAGGCAATATTTACCTATTTACTCACTGGCTTTTGTGACGGCGGAGATGAACATTTGTGTTTCTAAACACGCTAAGTAACTGACACGTGCGCCATCACACCGCGTCTCTACCAGCCCTGATGACAGAGCTCTTAGTAATGCTTTGCACTTCTGGTTGGAACGAAGGCACCCGGAGACGAGAAAAGAGACGATTTGCTTTGCACTTCCGAATTATCTACAGCACGGGATTACAGTGGCACCCTTTCCAGGTGGCACAATGCCGTGGGTCTCTGCCAGTGAGACACCTGGCGATAACATTGTTTTCCTTCTTAACAGTTAAGATAAAGAGCAAGGCATTAACTGGGTCTAATGAGCTGCTTTATTATCAGTCCTCGGGGGACAGTTTTATCAGCTTTGGAACTAAATTCACTGTAGCATTTGTTTAGTCTTCGCGGCTGTGACTGCCATAGGCTTTTAAGATGCAAAATTGAAAGGTCTTCGCGGCTGCGACTGGCATAGGCTTTTAAGATGCAAAATTGAAATTACTACTCGTCGCATCGCGGTAACAAAAATGTTATATTTGCTAAAACCAGTCGGGGCCAGTGAGTACGAAGATGGCCGTGTCTTCTGGTAGACGTTCAACTGCGTTTCAGAGGTCCTTGCCGTCTCCCTGATCACGGAGGCAGCAAGGACACAGAGCTACAGCCCATACGACAGCCATCTTGGTTTCTCGCCTTGAAACAGGAACGCTGACTGACGATGCTGGAGAAATCTTCTTAATGAGAATCTTCACAATTTGAATATCATTAGCATGGTTAAATCGAGAGGGGAGAAACATGCATGCGGTTTCGTGATAGGAACAACAAAATTCGAAAATGAAGAAAGACAATCAGTTAAATTCCAAATTACAACCTCCCCACCGGTTTTGCACAAGAACTCAGACTTAATAGGGTTTATTTACATCAGAATCGGATTTCGGTTTTTAACAGAAAAATTCGCTTGAATTTGATGTTTACACTTAAATACGCGACACATGTCAACAGCTTAATGATCATCTGTGTGGTATCCGAATACGTGGAAACCAGAAAAGCTTTGCGGTGCACTCCAAAGAGTACACATTATTATTATAATTATAAATTAATTTAATTATTATCATTATTATTACTGCTGATCTCAATGCCTGCATTCCTTTGAGAAGAATAAAATACCTGGAACATCTGTTTCCATAACATTTTCTACCGGTCACAAAATGCAACAAAATTTCACTAAAATTTAACAAAGAAATTTTTTTTCCGTTTTCCTCCAATTGTACTACACAAACAATGCAATAATTCACGACAGCTGTTTTAACTGTTGAATCGTATCGAGTTTAAAAGAACGTAGATTTAGACAATCGATCTGAAAATCTGTGCAGAAAGTACTTACAGATTTTAACAAATTTTCTTTCTTCCAGCGCAGTGACCAAAATCAAATGTCCACACTAAGGCGTGAACGATCATGCCAAAAAGTTATAATTCCCGACATTAGTGCAGCATCAGCTTTCAAATGAGCACCCCAAGTGGTTCTGCCCGCTCACAATTTCGATTGCCGGAAAAAGGCTTACAGAATCACGCACAGATGACAAGGCACCCACCGACGTCATGGACCCTTCAGCGCTCTCGATAATGAGCTCCCTACTCGTCACACACGAAATGATACTAAAACCTCACACGATGACTGTCACGTGACGACCTTTCGTCCCCTGAAGATTACACCGGAATTACAGCATTCTTTAATAAAGCAGGTAGCCTAATATCACAGGCTGATAACGACCAGACACTCGACGCTGAGTACGGACTCTTTTAAGGCGTTCTAGCTCGCTCACTTGCTAACAAACATCCGCAAGACGACGTCAGAGGAAAACAGCACAAGATCACTTCGAAATTTCGTCAACAACTGGAAAAAAAAACTGTTAAGAACCGCACAACCAGAAAGTGACAATACGCCATTATCAATTGTCTTGGCGAGTCGCGCGAACCACTGGCTGACAACCGCGGGAAGTGCATTCTGCTGCAACGTAATGCAACAGACGTCGCGGGATCTGAACCCAGAGCCCCGCGGGCACTGCCATCGATCGGCAAACTTCAAAAACGTCGTGACTGGAAACTCACATCCACAGAAATGGTTTTCTCGCTCCTTTTCGCAATGGCTCGCCAGAAAACTTCTGTAGGATCCGCGCGTCTTCACAAGCAGATCCCACAAAAGCCACTAAAGTATCTAATCACATCGGCCTTGCACGGCGGATTTCCATTTGACTACGTGCGTCCGCACATTTAGGTCCAAAGTCCAACGCAAAGGCAAGCAAGAACCGCCAAATTTGGTCCAAAACGCGTTCATTTAATTTTCGGCGAGTCCAATACTTCGCGCGTATCTTCTGATTCCTTCAACAGGTTTAGATAAAACTTTGACATTTAACGTAGGATTTGAAGTTTTCACAGCGGTGAGTCTGATGATAGTTGTCTTCCGAGTTAGTGCGCCGTGTAGATTTCCACCGTTTCGGAGGTCCTTCCTGCCTCCGTCATCAGGGCAATCTTTTGGCATATAATACAAGAGCCACAACGCACAGACTGTGATTGGTTCTCGTAAACACTTTAATGAACGTCCTGATTCCCCAAACGACGCGACATTGCCTAATTATTAACTTAAAATTTCGACTGGCTTGTCCTCACGGGTCGAATTATCCAAAAGGATAATCTTCTAGTGACGCACTCGTATTCAACAAACAGGGCGTTGGCTTGTCGCTTTGGTGACGAAGACCGAACACCAACCACGGGCAACAAGAGAGTAATTATCGAGATGATGCCCGCTTGTTTATCGGTGGAAAAACACGCCGGTAAAGATATTACAAAGTCAAATTCTGCCTCATTAAGACGCAAACTAAGAGCCACCTGATGGGCAACACAAATCTGTAAGAAACCTCAAAACATTGCTCCACATCAAACATCAGACATGAGTACGAAAGTTAATCCCCAAGCCCGAAGGAAAACAATTCAACTCAAGAACTACAGGATGGATGACACCGGAGATTAAACCGAACTTGTACAATCGATAAAACCAAGTACAAGGCATCTGCCCAAGAGGAACGTACAACTCCTTCAACATTAATCGGAAATCAACGCCAAATAAAATTTTGTAAATACTAATTATAAAATTCTTCTTCTTCTTCTTATAGCGTTATAACCCTGTGTGGGTCTTAGCTTGTTCGATGAATTTTTTCCATTCTGTCCTATCATCCACAATTCTTCTCCATCCCCTTACTCCCATCGTCCTCACATCCTCCTCCACGTCGTCTATCCATCGTTTCCGTGGTCTCCCTCTCATCCTTCTTCCCATCGGTCTCCATTCCATCACTCTTCTAGTTACCCTGTTTCCTTCCATTCTTGCAACATGGCCAAGCCAGGCTAACCTTTTGCTTTTGATTAGCCTCAAATAGTTAAAATATAATCGGTAAAATCATCTGTTGTAAATTATACATCATTGGTCTTTTACTTTTTAAAATCTTGATCAGGATTCAATTAGGGGTCTTATAAATATGATACCACACGCTTACCTTTCCTTAAAAAGAGGGCTGCATGACGGAAATATAAACCAATTACTTCATTTAAAATATATATGAACAGCTGCAGCCACTTTCACCTGAAAACAAAATGGCCTCACAGTAAAACTCATTTATTATTTGTAATTATAATGTGCACTCACATAACTCATATTGCATGCACAAGTGTAAGTTATGCAACTTAAAATATCATAAACCATTTGCTATTAATAGAAATTCCACACACCATCAAAATGTAAGCAATAGCTCACTCAGAACTAAGCGTGACTCGTTTTCAAACGATGATCTAAGTAAGTTAACAGAGCTGTAATATTAATTCCATGGCACTGAATCTATCAGGTACAGTTTCTTTGAAGCGTTAAATATTCTCAAAAATTTTCAAGAAAAATCCTTTTTCTTATCCTGACTTCAACAAACAGAAAGTATACAAAAAGTAACAATTTACCACACGATGCGGCACTGCAGTGCTGGCTACCCTGACTGCCGTCTTCTCAGGTTCTCCAATCAAGACACCCGGCCACAGACTGCGTCGTACCATACTCCAACTGGTGATATGGAAGATGGTTTTATGTGGAACTAGCGTGGTGAGCACTAAATCAATTCCCAAATCACCGCAACAAATTATGTTACGAGATTTCAACGCAGAAGGAAAAGGAGATATTTTCAAACTGATGATTGCTGACGCAGTGTGGACTTTTGGCGGTAGACACCGACGTTTCACAGAAGCATACTGTGTCCATCTTCAGGGCTTAATGTGAAGACAATGTGTCTGTCTGAAACACTAGCATCACAGCCCAGGAAAGCAACGACATCTACGAAGCTGTAAGAACCTCAAATCTCACATATCAAGATGATGAAATAAAAAGTAATGCACAAACATATTCTGTAAGGGATAACATTAATCTGATTCCATTTTGCACGTCTCACTTTCTACTCAGTAGTACGTCATGACTGTATGAAGGGATTTTGATTTCTTATACGCACAAACCACAGATCAGAAGTGACATTTGATTATGTTCATTCTGGATAATTAGTTACTGTTTCAGAAGAAAAAGTAAAACTGATGTGTTTTCGTAAGTATGTATCTCATTTTACAACAGAACAATGTGAAATTTATCTCAAAGAGATGAAAATCTGTACGAATCATTGGGAAGCAGCAACTTGGTAATATCATGTAACAATATATAAACAAATTCATTTTCATGACAATGAAACAAAATTAAAGTGAATCTTGCAGTGGCATTTTTTCAAAGCTATGACTGGACACCGGCCATTTTATAACCAGAACTACAATGTTATATTCTAATATATCAACAATCTTAAAATGCAAACCAAGGAGTGAAATAAGAGACTGATTCTCATGTTTAATAAATTCTACTCGGGCTACGAGCCGTGTAAGGCGGCTTAATATAAAGAAAACGCCAACGTTGGTATTTTCTTCATCGAGCCACCTTACACGGCTGCTAACCCAAGAATAACTTGTTATACTTAGTCACTGCGTTAGCTTCAGATCTTGATTCGTGGGTTATTTAATGGCTGTTTAACCTTCACTGTATAAGAATAAGAGATTTAAAATCCTGAACTATAAGACCGCCAGCCAGGGTTTGATGGTTTAGCAGTTCACAGCCAGCTTGACTGCTCATATGCTGTGATGCATGGCTGATGAAGGTTAACCCTTCAAAGTTGAAGCTCGTTTGAATAATATTTAAGAACCGAGTCTGTACCTCAATGAAAACAACACTTATCCATTACAAAAATCATAGATTTAAGGAAATAATCACCGTACACAGTGCAATTCATGCAAATTCCATACAAACAAAATCCAGAGTAACATTATTAAACCAGGGGGTACAGGCCAGGCGCTAAAATGGTAAAATGACGTGAAGGGAAAGATTTGGAAGTAGCCAAGTAATCATGAAAACCTCTTTAATTGGATTCAAACACTAGTCGCATGAGTCACCACTCTGGCAACCTGCTTCATACCAATCGCAACACCCGTTATACAGAACACACCACAATATCAGGTCAGAGCTGTCATCTTTCACTACAATTCAAACTTTATTACGTAACCAATTTCTCTTAAGACATGTTGACAGATGGCTCTTCAAGTTATAAGCCATTGTAATGATCTTCTGGCAATTGGGGCACTGGACAGGTCTTCGAGATCTCCACGAATGTTTCCGTTGCTGATACACCGACTGCTTGGCACTATTAGGGGCCGCATAATAACGGCTCCTATCCACTACACTACTGTACACTGGCCGTACCTCCGCTCCCTGACTTGTACTTTCAAGGGCGGGTCGTTCAACTGATTTTAAGTGCCTGTTCACAATGCTTACTGACTCACTCAGGACAAACAGGTCTGATGCATTGTGCGTCTTATTTGCAGTCCACGAAGGAATTCCAAATACCTCTTCCATGTTGCTATGTCCCTTGAAACTTTCACCTAGAAGTATAACACACAATGTAAATCATAACACTTGCATAAATGTCATCACCTTTATTAGAAATTTTAGTCTATGAAAATGTGACTTCCTTTTGAACATTGCGGTTTTGTTCATTATGCCACAAAACCACATGCTACGCTCTGCACCACGTAAATGTAAGCAAATCATTAAAATGAGCATCGTTTTGAAAGATGTGATTCTTATTTCTTACAAACTGCATGATGATTAAATTCAAAATCACAATAAAGAGTGTGATCACATGATACAAATATTAAATTCCAGAGTCAGTTTTCATAATAACAGTTCTAGTTGGACACATAAAAAGTTACTGAACACAGGCTTTAGTTCTACTAAAACATTTCTAATTGAAATTTATGAATACTTTATTGCATGTAACTACTTGAAATTGGAAAGGTGTAATATTTCTTATGGCATTGCATGCCACCATATGACATACTTTTATGCCTGGGGTTGTCAATATTGAAAATATTTACTGTATGTGAAAAATACTTTCACTGATTTTTAAATCAGTGTAATTAGAAAGACAAAAACTGTAAAAAAAAATATACTTACTTCATAAACTGTAATTAACAGATACGAAACAAAATTTAAATGCTTCACTTACCTCAAATTATGAAGGCAAGCCAACGTCACTGCAGTGGTTTGTAGTTCCGTATAATTCTAACTTAACTTAAGTGACAATATCGTAAATATGAAAGGAACGGGTAAAAGTGTCGTAATTATAAATGTATTCAGGGGAATTGTCCTTATAATATCTGCAAGTAATTCTTAAAAATTAATTTTAGTGTGAAACTTAGTCACTGCAATCACAAATTCACAATCCACCTCAGACTCAAGCTACTTTAGCAGATCATTCTGCAAGGCCAACATTTATATTACGCCCCCTCTCAGTCTGAACTTATGAATGACTGTTCTTTTGTGATATATTCATTTTTAGTCAAACATTTCCTACCATTTTTATTAATGGAGCAGACGTTTTAATGCAAACCATACAATTTCAGATAATTAATTTGGTAAAAAAAGTTTGCCATCTTAGCCAATGCATAAACTTGGATCTCTCAATGCCTGCGCAAAAAACCCCTGGACTGCAAGGTGGTCTCTTGTCAAGATGACAACACCAAGACCAATTAAAAAAATCAATGAAACGTAATTCTCTTGGATTACTCAGTAACATGTAAAATAATTAGATAATAAGAGCACACTTTAAATGAAAAACAGTACCTAATTTATTTACAAATTTATAATAAACATGTAATTTGAAATCTGAAGCTGTAAGAAGTATATTCAAATGTAAGTGACCTTTTGACCACCATGTCCTGGATAGGATGGACAATAGCACGCCACTTTGCCCATGATACGCAGGACATCACACTCTGTAACTTACGCAATGTTTTTAATTTTTCTGGTGAGATTTATGCAGCCAGTGAGAAACCGTACATACTATGTCATCCTCTGACAAATATCTGGAAGTATTTGTATGTTTCTTCTAACATGCAGCAGTCTGTAAGCTAAGAAATACTGAACAGTGAAAGGATTCAGCAACCAATGCTGAGACCATGGAAACAATACAACAAGTCTTGATTTAAAAACTGTGAATAATAAATTACAATATCAGCAAATCTACGTTTTCAAACAATGTAGCTGCTTTCATTAATGATTCCTTGACGTTATCAAATATTTATGAGGAGGCAAGGCACACTCCACTTACACTTTATGTATGACTTTGATGTGTGAGCATACGGTGAACAAAACACAGCCACAGAGCTTTTGTTCCGCACATACATTAACCCAAAGTCAGGAAAACAGAACTTGAGCCACGTGGTACAGTTCAAGCTAACCCTCCACTTTTATTGAATGTGCTATAAGATGGAGCGATGCAACCACCACGACTAAATTGAATGGAACCTTAAATGAACTCTAACAGAGGTGTAGCCCATAATCTTAGAATGTCAGACTCTTTGAGCCTCCTAATCTATAGTAAGGTGTACATTCTTTTCTGGACAATTATAACCTCATACTAAACACGAAGGTCCTCAACCATTATCACAATTTGTGGTAAAAACTTCGGATTTATATTTGAGAGGTTTGATTCTCAACTTGAAGGCTTGCTAAGCAGACTGAATTTTATCCTGATCTTCCTCAGTCTCTGCTGGAAAATGAAAACTATTCAGACACCCTTCCCTCCCAATTTACTATTACCAAACACCCCCCACCCCATTTGACACAACATAATCTAAGCGTTTTAGAAATCACTGTTAAATAAATGAGCAACTTATGCCTGTGTTCCTGTGGTTTTATGATTCTCACTGTACATAATGTGTGGAGTTAAATTCACAACCACGACTCCAAATAAAATGCACAAGAACAGCAGCTACACCTTTCTAAATAAAACATCATAGGCGTGTAAAACCATTTTATGACAACGGAAAATATGTGGGAACTCCTAAATCATTTATACCGCATTATATTATGTGACATCATTTTACACAGTTTTCTCAACTTTGTTAGTCGTAACAGAACAATGTTCATGGGAGCAGCAATTACTGGTTAACTGACTAAAGGCAAAGAAATGGCATAAGAGCACAACTGTCACCTCTGCGTCCTATTCGGTATATTTATTTTGCCAGAGTTTCTCTGTGGTACGTGTACATATGAGCCTTCAAGCTGTATTTATTTTTGAAAACTCTTTCACATAAGAGGCACCTCTGTTGCTTACATTGGTTGCTATGTACTATCTTCATGTGTTTCTGAAGGTTCGATTTGTTCGATATTATTTTGGCGCACAAGGGGCATGGTCGGCTCATCAAACGATCTGTAAAGATAAAAAAAAATTAATTTATGGGCTTGCACCAATTTTAAGTCAGAGACTGACAAAAATTATAGGAACTGAATTCAAGGACAGAGTGAACACTGATAGGTAAATGCCGATGTTCAACACGTCAGCCATCTTAAGGCACGGCGGCTATGATAAGAACAGAGCTACCGACTACCCAATACTGGAAGAGTCTTTCAGGAAGAAAAAAATCGAAAAAAAAATTAAATGTTCCCTGAACATTCAACACACGAATCACAAAAAAGTTGCTTTTTAATTTTTTTCTATATCTAATGTAAAATACGGAAGTTCGGTATTTTCATTATTTTTCTATGAAGTTTAATATTTTCATTGTCTTTCTAGGTTCTAATAAAAGATAAATTTAATGCTTTTCAAAGTCATTGCAGTATATGATCACTTTATTATAAAATAAAGAAAAATATTTGAACACAGGCGAGAGAAGAAGCATGTTTCATATAAATTTGGCTGAATACTGTTTGATTTCATAATGAAGACAGTCATCTACATTGGTCTGGTTTCTATAAAATCATTTGCAACTATACAACAACACATGTTCACTTTCACTTACGGGCTTCCGTGCAACTGTAAGTTATAATAAATACTGTACTCATATTAGAAACAATCTGAGCTAAGGTTCAGGGTGATGACGATTTTCGCTATAACTTTGTTGTTTAAACTAGAATTTAATGCTGGTTCTTAGGGCAGCATGCAGCCATTAACTGGCCTTAGTATGGTCTGATCTTATGCCAGTTCTTAGCTAATCAGATAAAATCTACTACAGAATACACACATAGCAATAAAGCATAAATGAAAACATAATAAATTATGGTCTTGAGGACACATCAAATTTATATTTTATACCGAGTACATCGAGATGGGAAAATCTTATTTAAACCAAACTATAAATTCCCCAAATAGTAGAAGTGACCGATTTTTCAGAGATGCTTATCGACGTGATGATGGAGGCAATAAGCAAGCACCTCTAGAACATCAGTCAACTTACACAAGACTACACAGTACATTATCTCAGAAGACGGTCACTTCAAGAAAATTTTATTTGCTGATGGTGGTCTTCTGGGTTGTGATATCATGCTGAAGCCCTGAAGATGGAAGCAGTTCGTTCCTCCAAAACGTTGGTAACCACAAGTTCACTAGCGTAAGAACTAGTGACAGACTTGGAAACATGGTAATGAACCTTCAGTTTCCATGAAAGGAGGCACATTTTAAATGAGAAGAAAATTAAAATTAAGGAACTTGTGGTCTTACACACATGTATGAAAGTTGCTGTGTTATCGATCCACTGAATGACATCCAGCAGTATGTAGTCCATTTGCATGGCACCACTGAATTTAATCTGTGATACACAGAAGAATTCAAGGAAGTTACAAAAACAAAATCCCAAATCCTTTTCTATTTTCAATGTCTGCATTTATATAATACAAAATTATTGCAAAACTAAAGCAAAGATGTTACATTTTGTATGGACTATAGAAGTGCAGTGCGAACATTGAAGACAACAGAATGGTAGGAGATGCCACAGCAAGAAAATGGACTGTTTTCTGTTGATTTGATGCAAAGAAGAAAAAGAGTGTGTGTTACTCTGAAAGAGTTCTTGGCCAGTTGTTTTAGTATCAGAACATCAACTTCTTTGATTATGTGAAAATGTGTGATGAACAAGAATTAACTGGTAGCATCAACATTTTTTTTAAATAATCTCTCTCTCTCTTTCACTGAAATGACCCTATAGAACAAGAAAACTAACATGATTTTGCATTATACAATTAATTACCATAAGTTTTTATCAATAAGAAAGCATGCTGTGTATAAAATTTGCAACTAATATGAAGAAACATTCAAATTAAAAGTCTATCTGCAATGAATTTAAACTTAGTACGATATACGGTTCTCATGGCGGTGAGCGTGACGATCGCTTTCTTCTATCTACAACCCAGAAGACGGCCATCTTCATATTTAATCTTGATTCTATCACTGAAAAATGAATGGTCTTAACTGAAGCCGATAACATGGTGTCAATCTAAACATCACCTCTGTTTTAAAAGTTTAAACATGTAATTCTTCTAATCAATTACCAAATATGCTAGCACAGTGTTGTCTTTGCGTCATTTTGTTGGTAACTTGAAGTGTTGCCAATGGTAACATTTATAAAAAATGGAATGCATAAAAACAATGTTCCCTTTCAGAGCTGTAACTGTTATTACTTTCGAGAAATTTACACACAGAAGTTCGTCACTATTAATTACAAAACCTGAGGCCACATTCTGCATTTGTCACAACAACGACTGACGGCGATCATACATGACTCAGTGTCCTGTCTAAAATCCAAACCTGTTCTTACCCTCATCAAATTTCCACGTATCATCACTCCAATTTAAGGACAAATGACAGAGAAAGGGGAGAGATATGAAAAGTGCATGAATAAATAAGCTTCAAGTCTATACATCATCTTGTGAAAAAACAGACAAAAAAGGGGTGCATACACAAAAGTAAGGAAATTAAGTGTGGAAATAAAGCACAGCAACTGACTTATTACTCCATAAGCACACATATCCAGTTAGTACTTTGACTAGCTGTAACAGTGGATCAGAAGGCAAAGCAAGCAGAGACCAAATGCACACGAAATCAGGCTCTTTCAGACATGACTCAACCCTCCTGCTACCTCCTGCAGTTAGAAAACTCTACAGAAAGATGGTGACCAGTGGCTCTTAGCACTTCACTTCCCTAAAGACATGAAGAATAACAAGACATCTCAAAGTCCAATATTTGTTTCACCATAATAAAGTGATTCTCGTCTCTTCATATTTAATCTCAGCCAGCGAACTGTACAGTTGAACAGAATTAGTCTCATGTGAGAGAACAAAATTTTTATGAGTGCATCCGTATCAATGCTGAGGATCAATTAATTAGATTTATAATGATTCATGTCTACAACGAATTCTTACTTTCACTTAAATTCCTTATTAAATGTATACTGGTGAAAGGATTTGCTTTTCTTTAAACTTTAAGTTTGACTTTTAGCATTTAAAACTGCCAAAGTGAAGGATGAAATACAGTTCAAAAATCTACACTTTATTACTGCCGAGTCCTTTGATCACGCGAAAATACGGTGAATTACTTTTGCCACTGGTCAGTAAGTCACAAAGAAGCACTGTGGGCTGTGGGTCCTTGGTTCAACACCAGCAAAGCAAACAAGTGACATTTCCAAAACCTCTGTTCAGTGTTAATGGTTGTGTAACATAAAACCGTCAAAACTTGCCACCTAAGATTGATTTCAACTTACAGAAGAAGAACATTCCAATTTCACATCCATGCCCGGTTCAACACCTCTGCTTATGCTTCTCCCACATGTGCGTCTTGTAAACGTCGCGCATGGCGAAGGAACGAGGGCACAGATGGCAGCACAGCGTGTTAGTCATGTCTGAGTGCATGAGACGAACGTGATATTTCAGCGCGGATTGGTTCGAGTATTTCTGTCCACAGTGGGGGCAAGTCCCACATTGGGGAACATGGGGAATCATTCCTCCTGCCACTTTAGTGGGCCCCAAGTCACCTGCAATCAACAGCCAGGAGAAGTCAGTACGGAGGCTTTAGTGCAACAGAAACACACAGGTGGGCAGTGTTCTTGTGTTCTTGCTACACACACAGCCCAGGATCTCTCTCTGTGTTATCACAACGCGACCTTCATATTCTGGCTTATGGAATTCCATACTGATAACAAACAAGCTACTAATACATTCTGAATTTAAACTTATTCCATGAGACAACAATGAACCAAGTTCTGCACACAAAGATCCCTGAAAGCGCATCGCATCACCCACACATACTTTACATGAAAAATGAAACTTATTCCATGAGACAACAAACCAAGTTCTGCACACAAAGGTCCCTGAAAGTGCATCGCGTCACCCACACATACTTTACATGAAAAATATTCAAAACAATCGCTTTTACCTTCAGTACTTAAAACAAATAGCATATTTTCCAAAACTATCAAGACGATCTTCATGCTACTTACTGGACCCATAACTAAACACCTTAGAAACTTTGGACATTTACCAACATAACTACAATATTATTATAAATACTTTATTAAATATTTTAACAGATCCTTGGTACTAGAAATGTTTTATGAACATTATGCAAAAATTAACAAAAAACTTTTCACTGAATTAAGACCTGCACTCTGACATTTGCATTTTCCCAGAAGTTCACCTCGCTAAAGCATTTTACTGGGATACAGGACCAATGCAATTTCTCACATTAACCTCATCACATGTACTAACTGGAATTTGAAACAAAAGTTTCAACAGCACCAATATAGAAGCCCATCTTGAGCCAGCTCAACCCAATCCACATGATTTTTCCAGTTCCTGACACAGTCTCAGTCCTTACAAACTGTCACATGACAGCTAATTATTGCTTTCCCTGCATATACAATACCAACTTATCAGACACGTGACTAAGTAAGAGTCCAGCCACGCAGTGTAGCAGTTTACAAATTACAGTACCTACATTAGAAACAGTTATTTCTACAAGATCCATGACAATTATTATTCCTCCCAACTACACCTAGGTCTTCCAAGTGGTGTCTTTCCTGCAGGTATTGCAACTAAAATTCTGAATGCACCGCTTCAATAACTATTTCAACATGATACGATAACTCCGTCCATGCCTAGTCTCCTACTGACATATTCCTTTTAAGTCTTTATATAAATGTTGTATACATTTTTCATCTCTCATATGCATGCTACAAACTTGGACAAAGTTGTTCTGCACTTACAAATGTATATTTCTATCAGAGTGCTTCTGTACAATTAAATTCTTAGAAATGAAACACCAACAAATTCCACGTTCTGAATTAACGTCAAGTAGAAATCTCAATAAGCAACTGGTTCAGTAATATTTAAACAGTCCACTAGTACCATCATCATCATCATCATCATAGCAAGTGCATGTCTAGGCCATCAAAGTGGTTCAGGTAATGCTAATGTTGTAAAATGAGAGTGCTAAACAAGTGCTAATTAAAAATGGGAGGAGACTTGACAGTGTGTATTCAATAAGAGGAGGAGGACAAACCCCAATTACGTATTGCAACGCCAGATACTACACCTACAAAGCCATCCTGATGCCATCCATGCAACCTATCAAACCTCTACATGCCAACATAATAGAAATTCTCGTCTGTCTGAGGAGCTGTGCCCAACAACTCAGATATGAAGTTCCCACCAACATATCCCACTACCCTGATAATTCACGGGGAAATGGTCTCCAATTGACATTGACACAGCTTGTTGCCAGAGAAGATTTGTTCGAGTACAGTTACCACGAAAGATTCAAGTCTTATAAAACTTTAAGTATTAATACATAAGCGCCTCATAGTGGGACAGCTTTACTTTATCATTCATAATATAACGAAATGTGTAGCAGCTATCTCTGTTGTATGAACACGATGGTATGCTGCACATAAAACTTTATTAAATAAATGTACGAAAATGTTACGTCCAGCAGGCTGCAAATATTTATAATGCTGTATTCCAGTTTACAACACACTTCTCCATTTCTGCTGAACTACAGAAAAACTAGATTCTCTTACAGGGCAATCCAAAACCTATGTTAGACAGACAACCTACAACCCTATGAATCAGCTACAGCAAGCGCCCTGCACAGCTGACAAGGGAGGGGAGGGTGACAATCACAGCTTCATCTCTACATTTCTCTAAATCAGCAACATTGAAAAGTTGCAGCAGTTACAAGGAAAAGTGTAGTGTTGCTACACATGGTTTAACATTCATATTCTACCCATTCTTTCCAAAGTTAAAACCAAATCAAACTGTGACCATACAAATCAAAAATCCTCTTTAGGAATGGCTCTCTGATAAGTGAACAATGTGACCATCCTGTGTTCGAACCCTTCTCAAGGGAGCTCCATGGAATGTGACCAGATGTTTGCGAAGGTAACGCTTATTCTTGAAGCACTTCCTACACAAATGGCACTGAATTCCCTGACTTGGTAAATGTACATTTTGAATATGTTGCTTTAGGTTGAATGAGGTACTGAAAGTCTTGAAACAGATGGGGCAAATTCGAGGCTGCATGCAGCGCCAGAGACCACGGTGGTGACGCAGAGAAGACCTACCGACATCTGTAACAACCAGAGACAGAAAGACTTGCTCTAGTTTGTTCTTTTGTTTCCTGTTTCATGTGCATTAACATTCTTGGTCAGAACAAGATGTACTGGACAGGACAATTAAAGTACAGAAACCAGTGGATGGAATTAATGTGCCATTTCATTCCCATGAATTGGAAGAATAAAGCAATTACTACCATTAGTGCCAATGACAGATTAACATAAACAGGATCTTCAAGATAGCTCATGCTAGTCAACTGTATATGTATGATGCTTCTTTCCACAGAATGCTCACATCGATTTAATCACTGTTAAACATCCAAACTAAAAACATAAAAACTATGTCCAGTTCAGAAAGAGGTGTGTAACCTGGCAGCACCGACAATGTGACAACAAGAACGAGTTCATGACATGAACAATACAGCATGAGATGTGACAGATCAGTCTGCAAATCAATTAGCAACAAAATGAACTGCCAGGGGCATGCTGGGAATTTCTGTCTTCGCCATCATGACCATCCAGAGACTGGGTAATCACACACTCACCCAAGAAAGAAAACTAAATAAGCGTGAAAATGACTGTGGCACAACACGGTCATTTTCCATTTCAGTGCCTTTTCATACTCGGCATGAACCTGCATCACTTTAAAGAGACCTCAGTTCATGTTCAGCAACCTGCCTTAAAAAATCAAATATCAGCTAACTCCATGAAGCAGAGCCCTCCTTGAGAAGGCAGAGTGTCAGCGTATTCCTTGCCTTTTACTGTCAATTAGTGTTCACAAAAGCTCACCACTAGACCCTAACCTGAGAGACATGAACCCAGTCCATCATATTTCTCTCACACCTACTTAAATATTATCATCCCATCTATATCTAGGTCTTCCAAGTAATTTCTTACTTTCAGCTACTCTGACTAAAATTCTGTATTCATATTTCATCTCCCTTATGCATGCTGTATACCCCACCCATCTCACCCTCCTTGATTTGATCATTCTAAAATGATCTGCTAAAGAGGAGAAATTACGAAGTTCATTCTCATGCCATCCTCTTGTCAATTCCCCCAAACATTTTCACACGATTTATTGCCCATCTTCATGCAACGAACTTTGTCCCGCATTCTAGTAACAAAACATGAACTAAGCATAGTTTTCTCTGAGTTTACTTCTACACCAACATTCTTACCATCACTTAACAGAGTTTCTGTGTTTTTACGGCATTTGTTTTCACCCGGTAAATAATCGTCAGCCGAGACCAGAAGCCGATGAGCTACCTTCACTTCCCATCCCCCTTCGTTTTTCTGGGACGTTCTAATTGGCACATTCTAAAAGCAATGGTGAAGTCTCCCCTTGTTTCAGGCAATTCTGAACAGGTAACGCGACAGAAAAGTGTTTACTACAGGTTTCATCTCAACACGTTCCAAACAGAAAAACTAATTTCACTGGTGTACCACATCCAATAAAAATGTTGTGCAATACTTCCCCCCCCCAAAAAAAAAAACTTAGTCACAGGCTTGCTTAATGTCTATAAATAGCTGATGTACTGTCTGCCTGTACTCCCGTTTTCTACAGTGCTGATAACCAATAATTATGCGAGCGTGCGTACATGAAGCTAGCCCTCCACATGTAGCTGATAAGGAGTATTACTATTCCTCTATGAGATTTGTTTTGCAGGCAGTAAAAATATGGATTGTGGTATTCTGGGCTATGACTTATGAAATTTGTGGGTGGTTACCAACATCCAGGAGAAAACTACCGCCCCCAACTTCAGGGTGAGCAGTGGACAAGTTACTTCACTTATTTTCAGAGGCACGTGAATGCAGAGATGTTACTATCAACTGGTCACTAAAAAACCTTATGGCATTTATTTTTATTCCTCAGAGCACAAAAAACAGCTTCGTATAAACACTCAGTGTTGAATGTCAGGTTG